TCCGCAACTTTCAACTCGGGAACCACAAAAGCTAGGAAGCTGAAAATTTAGAGGAACGTTCCCCACACACGTGTGATCCCGCAAATTTAAATTTAGCTTCCTCGTACCGCGGGCAACACGTACGGATAAGTTAATATCTCGGGAACCACGAAGTCTAGAAGGCTGAAATTTTAGGGTAATGACCCTCTTCCACGCTCAACCTTGCCCATTCAAATTCAGCCTTTCCTTACCCGGGGGCAACACGTACGGCCCCGTCAAAGTTTTTCACGGGTGAGGTAATACCTCGGGAACCACGGAGTCTAGGAGGCTGAAATTTTAGGGGAATGGCCCCCTGCCCATGCTCAACCTTGCCTATTCGAATTCAGCGTTCTCGCGCTCTCGAGTACCACCTACGGCCTCGTGAAAATTTTGGCGGGTAAACTATTAACTCGGGAATCATGGAAAGATATTCATCCTTCAAGGTTTCGAATTCAGTTTTCATGCGCTGGTGCGTGAAGTTTTCAAGTGTTTTCAAATGTTTAAACTATTTTTGCATAGACTAAACTACAAAGCAGTGAAAATCATTAATAAGCAATCGTTCACTGGGCTGAATTGCACAAACCGCATGATCGCACCGGCTAGCCTGGTGCGCATTGCTATTTACTTTTATCCCCTTACGAAAAAGCTAGTCAAAACCTATGGAAAATCTGTTTTCATTTTGAAACAAAGACCATTTTTAAAAAACATTCTGGCCAGTTTTTTACGGCTAAAGCATAACTCACGCAGTAATTTCGAAACTTTTCGCAAAAAATCGTGCACATCCATGCCCATAACAATGTATAAGGACAAATTTGCTAATTAAAAAGAGGTTTCATTCACACACACACACACACACACACACACACATACATACATACATGCACACATACACACACCAAACTGTAATTTGAAACTCCCCACAGATCCCAATTTGCAAGTTTTTATGCGTTTTTTGCAGCAATGCAATGCAAAAAACGCATACTGACGAGAGGTTGTCTGTGTCTGTGTGCCTGTGTGTGCGCTGCGCGCCTGTACCGATTTTTCGTCTCGAGACCTACGAGAGCTACAGGGCTGAAACTTTGGGGGTTTAATCTACATGCACGTACGGGCCCCCATCCCCAAAATGGGCGGTCTTTCCTGCGTAATACCCACGTAAGAGCCCGTCAAAGTTTTTTACGGGTAAGCTGCTAACTCGCGAACCAGAAAAGCTAGAGCGCTAAAATTTTATGGGAATGTTACCCGTCCAGGTAGGTGCTAATGAGCTCAAACCCAACCCCCGGATAAGCGTGGTACCCGCCTACGGGTCCGCCAAAGTTTTTCCTGCGTAAATTCATTATTCGGGGCTCTGAGATGCTAGAAAGCTGAAACTTTAAGGGAATGTTCCCCGTCCAAGTAAGTGTCAAAGAGCTCAAACCCAGACATCGGGCATACGTCCTACCCGCGTGCGGGCTCGTGAAAGTTTTTTCCAGTAAACTGCTAACTCAGGAGCCAGGAAAACTAGAAAGCTGAAATTTTAAGGGGATGTTTCCTGCCAGTTCTGGCAGCCAGTTTAAATTTGTTTAGCTTGAAGCATTTGCCAAAAAACCGATGCCGGTAGCGACAAAAATTGCGGGGAACCCTGCAAAAAACGCATCTCCGCACGGGCAGCCCGTGCGTTGGCCAATTATTTTGTTCCGAGAACTACGGTAAGCTCCTACACTGCATGCCCCTTCAAAGGTAATTTGCATATCCAGAACTGTTCCGATTACCTAGCGAGACATATTCAAAGGACAATTTTTTTTTTTCAAAAACATCAAAGGACATATTTTTTTACCCGTCAGCATGTCGCCTAATAAAAACAAGGATATGATCTTTTTTTTTTAAAAAATATTTCTGAAAGATTGAAATTATCAGTGACTGATAAGATCAAACGGTTTCAGGACAATCCCTTCCCAGGAAGCCATCTTCACAACCCATCTAGTCACAAACTGCTAATTATAACAAAAAAAAAGCATACTTTTCAAAATGAAGTCGCATATGATTGCGCCCGGCACTCATCACTCCTTCCTGAAGATACTGCGATCGTCCACATTTCACTGCACCATCCGTTAGGTTAAGCCATAAATTTTCGGTCAAATCACAACCCAGTTCTTCACACTGCCAACCCGATTCCGCAATTTTCTTTCCATTATCCAACTGAAAAAAAAAAAATATTACTGCAAAAACTGCATGCCCAAGCTTTTTTTTTTGCATATTTTTAGCAGATAGACGGCTGATCATGTGGCACGGATGACAGATAACAGATGGACGAAGCGGATAATGGAATGGTACCCACGCACGAGTCAAGTGAACACTGGGGAGGGTCACCCATGAGGTGGAGAAAGACCCTATGCCTGTACGGTACCGCGCAGACTCGGAGAGTGCAACAACGAATTGAATAGCCTTCGGATTTGAGTGATTTCCACGTATGGGCCGGTGAAGCTTTTTTTTTCGGGTAAGAGATTAACTCGGGAATCTGAGAAGCTAGAGGATTGGAATTTTAAGAGGATATTCCCCAGCCAAGATGAGTTCAACCCGGAGAAATTGCCAGTGCTGCATCGATGGTACGATAACGAAAGCCGATGATGTACAGCTGCTGTTCAAGTATTTAAGTATTATTAGCAGAAAATTATGCAAAATCAGAAATAGAAGAATACATAAGTCGGCATTATTATAACATCAGTATAATAAAACAATCATAAGCGGCTGACCTGCTCCAAATTTAGATGTTTCGTATCCACTTTAGCTTCTCCATCCCAAGCACTAACGCCCGCTTCAATTCTCTCCATCTTCTGGACACCTTCGCTTTCGATCAATCTCTTACATGCTTCCGATAGACCTGGTGGCAACCTGAAATTCGAAAAATCTCTTTTCACAATCCTTTTCTTTTCAGTCCTTTTTCTCCGTGTCCAGGTACGGGGATATCAGTCCGTTTCCCTTTCGATTGCCGAGATGGATTTGAACCCCTGTTCTCAATAATCCACAACGGCATTAGTCGAAATCCTAGGGTCGGTTCACCCACAGTCAACTATTGCTCACGTGTTCTTTGCCTATCCTGAAAAATTCCCCGTCCTTTCCCTCCCCCGCCCCCCCCCCCCCCCTCTGCCATCGTACCTGTACTCTTCCCCCTTCAATTCTTACAGTTTTCCCATCATAACGAACCATCCTGCTCCCCAACCCTCATCTTTACAGTCTTTTCACCGCCTTCCTCCAAATTCTTACTTTTCTCTCTCCCCATTCCCCTCCCCTTCCCCTCCCCCTCTCCCTTCCCCTCTCCTCTCTTGTAAAGATTTTTCACCCTTATATTTTCACCCTTTTTTCCCTCCATTCCTTCCAAGACCCCCTTTTCCCGTACAATATTTATAAAACATTCTGAAAAGCGAGAAGCAAAAAAAAAACCTGTTTATGCTATATTTCGTCTTGAAATGAGGATGCACCACAATAGCATATTCATTTTCAATTTCATATTTTGGCCCTGAACAGAAGCCACCTTCTACACCAATCGCCAGCTAAAATCAAAAGATGCCATAAAAAAGAAAGAAAAAATTCAGATTTCGAGAAAACAGAATAATCGTAATCATAATCAAAATACAAAGAGTTTTTATAGGGGAAAAAAATCACGATTAAAAGGAACTGGAAAAAAAAGGGCTCCAGTAAGCCGATGAAAGAAACCTTTGTTACTTTGTCTTTCGGTTCATCGGAATCGGACAGT